TTTTTTTTTTTGATTATTTTAACTTAATTTTTTTAGCCTTATTTATTTATTTTTTTATGAAAAAAAGAGCGTAATGATTATAATTTAAATGTGATATTTTGTCTTATTAATTTATGTAATAAATTTTATCTTTTGTGTTTTTTTTAAGTCAAAAATCAAAATTAAACATAGCTTAAATAGTGGAATCCATTGTTTTCACCGATAATAGCTAGGTAGGAGCACTACCTAGGTTTGCTCATGAAGCAATGAATAATTCCTCCTGATTTTCCTAACGTACTTATAAAAAATAAAAAATAAATAAAAATAAAAAAGAAAGAGGGTGTGTGCCTGTCTGTACAGTACAATACTGTTTGCTGAGTTTTTAGCGAGAGAAAATCGAGATTATGAAGGAAGGAAACGGGAGACCTGGAAGATTGGACTGGTTTTGCTGCTGTCGGGCTTGCGGACCGCACCTCCGAGTGCTACGTCAGTGGTTCGAGCGGTTAGATTTGTGGGCTCCTCGAACAGATAATTATTATAAACAATTAATTTAAGGCCTAGTTTGGGAAGATTAAATAAGTGTATTTTTTGATGAAATATGGGTTGGGTTTGGGTTGGGTTTGAAGTGATGTGTTAGAGAGGTGATGTGACTTAAATAAGATGATGTGACTTAAATAGGATAGTGACTTTTTGACTTTTTATCTTTTTTGTCTCACGCCAAACTTGGCCTAAATCATGTTTATTTTGAAAAATATAGATGGTTCATCTTGTCTAAAAAAATGATCCTTTATATTTTTTTTAAGACAATTATTATTTGAATAGATAATTATTAATATTTAATGAAATTAACGTTTTACAAGAATAATTTATTTAAAAAATTCTACAATCTCAACTGCTCGGATCATTGACGTGAAAGAATGAGGTCCACAACCCTAACAGCGCGGTGCTGCTGGACGTGGCCAACAGCAGCAAAACCAGTCCCCAGGCGGACAGCCATGTGTACGTTGTTTAGGGACAATTGTATGATAGATTGTGAATGTAATAAGTAATTTGAATTTTTTTTTTTTTTTTTTTAAATGGGGCTAATAATTTGACGTTAGTTTCTTACTTTGTTTCTTCTAATTTAACCTAATTTGAATCTTAAAATGAGTTTGAGAATTGATTATTTTAATTAATTTTTAAATTTTTTATAAAAAAGATATATATAAAAAAATAGAGAGAGTGTGTAATGTGATAATTTATAGTGATTTTTTTTGTCTATTTTCAAATTTTTTATAATTTTATTTGAAAGGAAAATTATTATTCTTACTATTTTTAAAAAATTATTACATATTAGTGAAAAAGTATATAATATTAATTTTTAAAATTTATAATATTTTTAAATTTTTTATTGACACCATATCAATATAATTCCTCCTTACTAGAATGGGATCTTTTTGTCACTTTTTTATGCCTTGACTAAATTAGTAACAAGCTAAATTAGTATTAAAAAAGAAAAAAAACAGAAACATCAAAAAGTTAGTACAACATTTTTTTTAGTTTTTTGTAGAAGGTAAAATCACTGAAAAAGTTAATTCTCAAATGAATCTTAATTATTATAATTTTAAACATAAAAAAGATCATATGCATAATTAGAATAACTAAAATGGAATTCAATTTCTTATATAAAAAAAAATTAATTTCACTTTGATCCTTTCAATTTCACACATTTTTTTTTTCTATAAAATATTAACGACGCATGATAGAGAAATAATATTATAACAAAATTAAAAGTGTATGATTCAAATTGCTCAAACTATAGTTAGGAGAGCTGAAGTGACATTTTTTAATTTAATTACATGGACTAGCAGTTAATTTATCCAAAATAAAAATCAGCTTGTTTGGTTCCAGTTTTTAGAAAATAATGTTCAGAAATTCTAGTTTTTTATTTTTCGTATTTTAATATTTTCAATGAATTTTTTTAATATTTTAAGCAATTTTTTTTTTTATTTTTAGGCACACCTAACATAAATACACTTAAAAAGTATAATATTTGTGAAAAAATATTTTAAAAATACACTAAATACCAAAAAATATATTAAAAAATGAAAATTCAGTACATTTTCGTATTTTTGTCTATTTATTAATATATTTTTTCACAAATATTTTACTATTTAGATACATCTACGTAAGGTGCATTTAAAAAAGTAAAAAAATTACTTAAAATTTAAAAAATATGAAAAATAAAAAACTCAGTTTTCAGAAAACTAAATTTAGAAAACTGAAACCAAACACACTGAATAATTTTTTTTGAACAATCCACTTTAATTATTTATATTGGGCTTATTTGGTATAACTTATATAAATTGCTTATAATTTCTTCTTTTTTTATTTTAAGTATGACTATTTGGTGTAACTGTTGCTTATAATTTATCATGCAGACATAATTTAAATGAGCTAAAAAAAATTATTCTTTAAAAACTGTGTGAGGAGTGTTTTTAACTTTTACTTTATGATTATCCGTTTTAAACTTGTAAGACCTATTATTTACTGAGAAATACTTAAAAGTTTTAAAACATTACTTCTTAAATTTATCTCTAATAACATAAATTATGGCATGTTAATTGTTAAATTATTTATAAACCACTAGGTTTAACCTCTTGCGACGTTAATCTAAGTAAACTTTATATTTTCTGAATTTTCATTTTTTTAATATATTATTGACTAGACGGCCGGCGACGAGCAGCGACGATCTTCGGCGGCGGCGGTGGTGCTGGCTCTTCTCCTCTTTCTCTTCTCCTCTCTTCTTCCTCTCTTCTCTCCCTCTTTCTCCTCTATCTCTTTCTCCTCTCTTCTTCCTCTCTTCTCTCCCTCTTTTGAGCCAATTCGAGCCAACCAATTCGAGTTACGGCTCATTTCCGTTTTTTTATTTTCATTCATAGATGATGTTCTTTGTCTAGTCAAAAAAGGTGTTTTTTTTCAAAATTTTGATTGATAGATGATATTACAATATCGGTCAATCAATTATAAACAATGATAAAAATCAACTTTTTATTTTGATTCATAGATGATATTCCTCATCTAGTCAATATAGGAATTTTTTTTAATTTTGATTGGTAAATGATATTACAATACTGGTCAATCAATTATAAATAATGATAAAAATCAAATATTTTTATTGTGATTCATAGATGATATTCCTCGTCTAGTCAATATGGGTATACACGGGAGATAAGATTTTTAAAATTTCAAACTATTAAGTTCCTAATGAGGTACAAAAATTCAGAATAATATAAATAAATTTAGGAGTCATGTTTAGCACTTTTCATGTTTATATATCTTTTAAAATAAGATATGATTCTCTTCAATTGGAGAAACCAATAGATCACATTCTTAGGGCTCGGTAGACCCACACACTGATGTTCAAATTTGTTTAGAAAATGTTTAAAATGATCTAAATAAGTATATTTTTTAACTTTTTATAAAAAATGTGTAAAAAAATAGAGAGATAATATAATATAAAAAAGATAAAACGATAAATAAAAAAACGTACTTTTGTAGGGGATGTGAAATAGTACCTTAATTTGTAAGGCCTTGTGCATAGATCATTCATGAAAAAAATTTATTATTCAAACAAACATAGTCATATGATGAAATACATTTGTTATAATAAATATTTTTTTAAAAAGGACAAGTATGGTTTCAAGAAAATCCACCCATTATTTTTTAAGACTATTGTTTTATTATCATGTGTTTAAAATTAATTTAATTTTTTTGCGTAGATAATCTATTTAAAAGAGCTTATAAGATGAATGATTTAAATTAATGAGATAATTTGTTTGTTGGATCCACAAAAACCCAATAGTATACTTCAATTGAATAAAAAGTTGCCAAAAGGAACACTTAGGCCTCGTTTGGAAGCGACCGGTTTAGCCAAAAAGTCAAAAAGTTACTAAAAAAATCAAAAAGTCAACAATCCATACTAAAAAGTCAAAGATTCTCTTTTCTCTCTATTTTTTACACATCTTTTCGTAAAAAGTCAAAAAGTCATTCCAAACATATTAGTTTTTTTTAACTCATATTTTAGCCAAATAGCCAAAAAGTTATTAAATTAATATATTCTCAAACCATTGTTTGAATCAACAATTATCAAATTGAAGCACCAAATAGAATTGTTCTAATAACGTTAAATAATTTATCAATTGCAAGAGTTCTTTTGGTTTGAGTGAATTGATGAAAATATTTATTAAAAAAAATAATGAGGGAACTTTTTTCATGTTTAATATATAAATTAACACTTCATTTATTTAGCAGAATTTTTTTCCCTATGGAATGTTTTTCTATATTTAGTTGTAACCTTAATACATATAGCGATTATCAAGTGATGGTGGAGAGACGGTAGTCTAGTAGCATTTTTAATACCTTAATATTCAAAACATTTTTCATCTTTCAAAAGTAAAAATATTTTTCGACCAAATAAACTTATTTTCCATTGCCTTCTAATTCTCCTCATACCAAATGTCAAAAATATGGCAAATGTTTTATGCCAAAATAAATAAAGTGTTAGTGAAAAATGGTGAGAAACAATAAAAAGAAAAAAAGAAAAAAATCTTTTCTTTTGCTAGTTTTATTTTTAACTAAATATAATGAGATTAGGTAAGAAATAAAAATGATTGATTATATACTTTTTCATATCAAGATTGTTCATCAAAATACAAAAATACAAAAAAAAAAGAAAAAAAAGAAAAGAAATGTCACTCGTATTTCTATCTCATATACTTTACTTTCTTATTCATTCAAACTAATATGATAAATTGTATATTTTTATAATATCGAGTGTAGATGTCCTTGAACGTTCCGGGAGGAAAATCCCGTTTTGTTCGTTTTGACTCATTACAGTTCAGGACTCAAACGTCACGGTCCTGTATCTAATATCGCAGAGTGCAATGCAAGACCGATAAATCATCAAAGAGTCCAAATTCAGCAAATCGTTTTTGAAAACAAATTTTTTTGAAAGAAGTGTCAAACATGGACTGCTTTGCCAGATACAAAGTCGCCACCTAAATATTTTATTTTGAGAAATTTAGGAAACCCTGACTCGTTTGCCTAAGGCCATGTGTCCGTCATCACCAAAGTTGCCTCGGCTCAGGAACTTGGGTATGATTGGGGAAGGTCACTTTGTGAGCACCCCCGCTCGCCCGATCAAAGATCGGTCTCTACTAATCATGATATCGAGTTTCGAAAATATTATGTGCTCTTATTCCGGTTATTAGCCTAGAATTACTATGTAATGCGCACAGCATACAAGTATAAACTGGGTCGCCTGAATTGGAACAAAACATCTCATGTTCGTTTTGAAAAACGGTTTGAAGGTGCTACTCGCAAGTAGGCTAAGGCGTGGATTTTGCCACCATCAGGTAGGCTTATAAAACATGATTTTGCCACTCTCGAGTGGGCTTAAAACTCTCATTCAATGCATTATTCCAATTCAAATAACCTAACCTCCACCCACAGGCATTCAGGCAGTTATATCACATAAGCACATAGCCTCATGGTAAGCATGTTATCATGGCAGTCACTCACACGCATGCAAGGATGCTAAAGTATAAACACTTACCAAGTACTCCGAGCCAAAGAAAGAAGCTAATTAGAAAACATGCATGAACCCTAACTATGCTGAAATGCCTAATGCAACACATGCAAGAATGCAACTAAGATAGGCTCGGCTATTCTAAACATGGCATTTTACTACAAACATTTTACAGCTTCCAGTTTATAAGTACCGGGTGAACAATTTATAGCCCGTTACCATTAATAACTTTTCAACTTATTACATTTTGTTTGCTCCAAAAGTGTTGTTATATTTTATCAAACTTATTGTGTGGATGCTGTTAACATGTTCAAATAGTTAACATGTTAACATGTCATACGTAAACATTACAGCGTCACGACTTCAATAAGGATCGCGCATGTTGTCAACATTACACAGCTTTCATCACAATACTCGCACCCTTCGCAAGTGGAATAAGGAGCACATCTATGGCGTAGCTGTTCGGACCCCAAAAAACCCCAGGGCTGGTTCAGATTTAGTGTCTGATGTTATTTCAAATCGGGTCTGTGACAAGCCACTCACGCGACCCATAGATGTTGTCTATGACCTCAAAAAAGATTATGGATTAGAGGTTAGCTACCGGGTTGCGTGGTTAGGTGTTAAAAAAGCTCGGGGGGAGATGTTTGGTGCACACTCCATTTCGTTCTACCAATTGCGCTGGTACAGTTCCGTTGTCGTTGAAAACAACCCTGGAAGTTACGTCAACATTGACTGTGATAAACACAACAACCGTTTCATAAGGTATTTCATATCATTCAAAGCATGTATCGATGGGTTCAATCATTGCCGGCCATTACTATTCCTGGATGGGACTTTTCTGAAGGGAAAATTCAAGGGACACTTGCTAGCCGCTACTGCGAAAGATGGCAATCAAGGTACTGTTACACACCCTTGACACAAATCATTAATTTTGTACAATAATAATTACAGTGTACATTGACTCACTCACATGTTAATTGGTCTCACCAACACACCACCAACATATTTGCAAACCTAACTCACAACAACCCTTTCTAGGTCTCTTCCCTGTAGCCATCGCAATTGTCGATTCAGAAAACACCGCAAACTGGGCATGGTTCTTGGGACATCTCGCAAATGTTGTCAACAGTCACAGGACCCTTACATTCGTATCTGACCGACATGCAGGATTATTGGAATCAATACCCATCACATTTCCCACAGCCCATCACGCATTTTGTCTACAACATTTGCAACGTAACTTGCAACATAAGTTACGATATGTCAACACTTCATACAGGGCTGGAATGTTGACAAAATTTCGGGCTTGTGCTTACGCACCCACTGTGGCTTCATTCACGCAATGCGTCGAGGAATTTATGAAATGCGGAAGGAAGGTTGTTCCCGCATTCTTAAAAGACTTACCCCTTCAATTTTGGGCTAATGCTTACTTCCGGTATGTATTTCAGTCTTTCTTTTTCCTTTTCGTTTATACTGCACCTCACATGTTTATACTTATCACATTTTCATGCCATTTGCGTATGTCCCCACTAAAATTGTACTTTTCCAATACCAGCGGTTCACGATACGGTGAGATGAGTTCCAATGCCGTTGAATCATTTAACTCGTGGATACGGGAAACACGCCACCTACCAATTACTCAACTGGTTGACAGCATTCGAGTTAAGATTATGCATCAAATGGCGAAACGCAAAATAAAAGCACAAGCGTGGCCCGGTGTTATTTGCCCAAAAATGGAAGCTCGATTGGTCAAAGCATACAATAAAGGCAGAGCATGGCTTGTCAGCCAATCCACCGATACAGTGTTCGAGGTCCACTCTTTCCCATCCGTCATGGTTGACGTTGACAAACGTACATGTTCCTGTTTCAAGTGGCAAATCAATGGATTTCCATGCTCTCACGCAGTTGTTGCTATCCGAAATAGCGAACTCGACCTGTACGATTTAGTGGCTGAATTTTACTACGGGAATGCTTACCGGAACTCATACCAACATAACATACAACCCATTCCAACTGTTGAGAAACCAGCATTCAATCCTGATGATTTTGTCATACACCCACCGTCAGTCAAACGACCACCAAGCCGACCCAAACAAAAAAAGAATTCTTTCCCAAGGTGAAGAAATGCAACAAATTCGATGCAGCCGGTGTCAACGCATGGGTCACCACAACCGCACAACGTGCAAGGAACCAATTTAGCTTCACACACATAGTGACAGATATCCAAATTTCATACTTTAGTTTCACTGTAATTGTTTTCTACCTAAATAATTGGGTATGCCACACCCATAACGTAGTCTTGTATGACAGACAACTTTACTGCAAACATTTCACAGCTTCCAATTTATAAGTACCGGGTGAACAATTGATACCCCGTTACCATGAATAACTTTTCAACTTATTACATTTTGTTTGTTTCAAAAGTGTTGTTATATTTTATCAAACTTATTGTGTGGATGCTGTTAACATGTTCAAATAGTTAACATGTTAACATGTCATACGTAAACATTACAGCGTCACGACTTCAATAACGATCGCGCATGTTGTCAACATTACACAGCTTTCATCACAATACTCGCACCCACAACATACGAACCAACTTTCACCTTACATCCAACCCCCACACCAAAAAACACATTACACTTTAACATCGCCATACATTCACCTGCGCGATATGTTCTAATCAACAGCATACATAACATGCACCACCACACATAAACAAACAGAAAACGTACCATTCGAAAACAAAACATTTTCACGTGTCAAATAAAACCATACCTTTCCAACAAAAACAAATTATAGCATCACCATTTTAATTACATTTCAAAAACCCACACTCCAACAGTTACCATACTGATGTCTGCCAAAAAAACCAATGACCCACCAAACAGTGTATCATACTAATCATCATGCTTCTGTTCCAACGATGTCAAAAATAAATTAAAAAAATACCTACATCCTAATAACCATGCTTCTAGTCTTTCAAACCACGTGCTGGATCGTTCACAAACGCCTTAACCATATTTGCACGTAGTATGATGTAATTAGTTCCTTGCAACGAATGTTCGACGTCACACCGAAGCACATACTGTCATATAATAGCACACACAATGACCCCACAATCGAGCCTACAAAAACAAAAAAAATTACATGTCAGCAGCCAAACCCGCGGTACCCACAACCTTACGCATTACAGCCACCCCAAACGAAACGCAAACACAATTAACTTACGTCCCAGGTTTTTGCTGTGGACACTTGATCACAGCTTCCAGCGAGCTGCTGAAATTCGCCAGTATGCTTTGCTCATCTAACCCAAATTCAAGCAGAGTCTACTTCATCACATTAGTCACACGTTCTTTCTGCAATAATTAACACACCCCAATTAAACATTCTTCAAAAACATAACACATGAAAGGATCACATAATCACAAAACAAATGCAAAACATAAATGTCACAAAGCATACCAGCAGTGTCGCCACATTGTGATGTACATCAGTTCTGTCTCCACGCTGCCTCATCGGATTGTAATGTTTCCAAGTCCCATCTTTCGTATCATACACCACAAGCGTCCAATGTCCATCGCGACACATTGGGAAGTGGATGAACCGACAATCACTCGCAGTAGACACATTTGTACGAACAAACTTCTTCATAGCACGTACATCATCGTTTTTCACCATATCCTACAAAACATAGAAACCATCAACACACCACACAGTCACACAACACAAACACGGTGCACTTCATAATATCACAACTCACCAAACACACACTACTAAAAAAATAAGACTTATCCGCCAACTCGTCATCGCCATACATCCTCAGATGCTCACTTTTAAACAACTCAACAAAAGCATCAATCACCTGCCCACAAAAAAAAAAAAAAAATCTTCTATCCGCATAACACCTATGCTTCGTATGTTGCCCCATATGAGTTCATTACCCACATGTGAACGGAAAACATTGATTCTTCAAAAAAAATGCAGTCTCACATTTCCACAAATGCTACTTTGTCGTATGAGGTTCTTCACATCACTAAAGTCCACCACCACACCAACTTCACCATCCTCCCACATGACCGCCCTAAACACACCAACAATTATCAGTTCCCAAAAAAAATTACATGACAACAAGTTCTAACAAATCTAAAAAAAAACATACGTACCGATCACCGTGCCTATCATAACCTTGCTTGATTCTACACTTTTCTTCCACTGTCATCATTTTCCACACCCCCAACCTGTTGTTTTTATCAAACTCGGACCACTTATTGCCCTTTACGACCACAGCGTCCACATCAACAACTCCGTCACTCTTAACACAATCATCATCTCGCACCACACGATAACTGTCTGCGACTGACTTCTTACTACGCCCATGTAAGATGGGGTACTCGAAATCCGGCAATTTCCGTTCCTGTCTAACTTTCTTTTTAATGTTACGAACAAAAAATGTTTGCCCCCCAGAAACAATTACCCCCCTATCCGCATCAGACAGATCCACATTCACAATGCCATCAACATTTCTCCCACATTGCTCACCATCAGAATCGACAACTACGCATCCAACATTCGGACCCACAGCCTCGCTACACATATTCGCACCCCCCATACCAGCTCTAATCGGCGACACATCGTACACAACTTGACCTCCAACCCTAACCCTCGCAACACTACCACCAACGCCGTCACCCCACACCTCCACATCGTTGAAAGCTTGCGTCACCACATGCACATCACGATCAGCGAGTTGATCCTCAAGCACCAATACACTCCTCCGCAATTCGATATTTTCTTTCTTTAACTTGTCCACCTCTTCATTCTTAATTCCCAACACACACTCAAACCCCCCTACAATGTTCACAGCTTGCGCCTCCAGTTTCCTTTTCAGACCAGCAACTTCTTCCTCAAGCAATGCAATCATTTCATCTTTTCTTTTATTCTCCAATTCTAGTATTGCAATTGCACTACCATATTCATTCACTTTGCTGTCATTCACCCCCTCATTGTCCTTCCCAGATGTGGAACCATGCAACGCGTCTGTTCCCTTGCCCCCCACTGTCATTTCTGGTTTGTGCCCTTCCCACGAACTGCATTCCTTACGTACATCGCCAAATCCAAACTCCACATTGTCTGTATGAATCGCAGCCTCAGTGTGTCTGCCATCACCTTTAAGTTCATCCACAAAAGCATCATCACCTCCAACACAATCAACCACATATGACTGAACATTTTCAAACACAACAACATCTGCACCCATCATTTCACGTTCAGATTCAAATGACCTAAGTCGGTCTACTTTAACCTGCGCAAACACAAACATATTACCATAATGAATGAAAAAAAACTCATCACAAGTTCGTACAGTCAAATATAAGCCTTAAAACAACAACAACACCCAACACACATACTTGAAAATTAACTGGGCCGGACAGGTCAAGCCCTTGAGCTTTACTCAGCAATTTCCCAATGTCCCATTTCATGAATCAGGGGAACATGTTGTCCGTTTGCGGCTCAATTATTGTCGAATGTTCTAATATCCAATACTACACATAACAAAAAAATAAAATATTAGTAAACTAATATATCTGCCACAAATATGTGTTACTACGACTAATTAAATTGAACATTCACATACCAACAACGCAACCACGCAGCCTATCACCGTCCATGGCATTCGATGAAACTCCTTCACTGGCCCCATCAGTGTTGTCATTATTGCGCCAGTCCAGTCGTACATCCTCACAGTGTCCAAGTCGTTCATATACCGAACAAATGCCCAACTAATTGTCTCACTTGAGTTTGCGAAAAACAGCTTCCCACAAATGTACAAAGCCAAAAGCTTTGCCACATCTTCCTCATCTTGCTTGGTCCAACCATTAACAACTTCAACAAACAAACTTTTCACCAGTTTCGATGTCAGCCGTGACGTGTCACGGCACCTACGCTGAATAAAGTCCGACACTGGTCGTTGACCAGGAGATAAATCCAAACGCCTCTTCCCGCATTGCAGTCCAAAAATCAGTCTCACATCGCTACTAGCAAATTTGACATTGGCCCCTCCAATATGGAACGCATTATCACGCGGATCATATGTTTTTATAATCTTCGAAATCAGATCATCACACTTCCTGAATTCATTGTGGTTCAACTTGTTGATGTGGATCGCCTCGATCATAACCCAAAATCGCGTTCTCTTTAATTGATTCATATGTGCCTTCCTCAGTTTTACCGAACTAACAAGTTTGATTATACCAGCAACGTTTGACCGGTAGTTAATCCTCGTGTGTGCCAGCCGCTGTGGGTACTCATTACCCTTACTGACATTACGTGCCACAGCATTATTCACAACTTTCATCTGCTTGTAAAGGATGCGTCCCTCCATTTTCACACCAACTTTGTGTGCCTTCGACCCAGATGCTTCCGCAGCCCTTTGCTTCTCACACGATCTAGTCCACGGACTATGTACCGTACTGCTATCTGCAACACCACACATAAACCATTTCAACAAAACTTACAACAACTGCACAAACAAGCTACCCCATACAGACACATCCCCCTAACATTGTCATGCCATGCACCATTTTGTAACCTTGCACGGAACAAAAAAATAACCACCACCAACACCACATATACACTCACCAAAAATAATGCATGGGAACACACCCACCCACACCAGCAAAGCAAATAACATTACATACGGCAATACCACAACAAAGAGCACCCACACAGACCACGAAAGCATTGACCCTCACATACACCGAAATCACAAAAACACAAAAAAAAAAACCCACAGAAAAACACAAATACCAAACCCCACACAAGTCACACATATACGACAAAAACACAGAACCTCCCCCACACACAAAACCCCACCCCAACTGTTTGTTCACCATCAAATCAACCATCACGCCCACATCCCAAAGTTATTTCCACCTAAATCCCCACCTAAACCCCAAGAAACACCCCTTAGGAAGTCCATCCACACAACAACCCAAACACAACCACAACAAAAACCAAAAAAAGAACATACCCCACCCTCAAATAGTCGAACCATGGCCCAATACGGCCAACACAGTAACACAACACACAAACAAACACACAACGCAACTTGGCCCCACCCCTTGTCTTCACAGTTACATGTGGTCCCCCACAACATTGTCCCCCTTACACACTTTCTTTAGCCTCCTTCCCCCACAAGCACAACCAACCACCCAACCAAACCCAACAACAAACACACACACAAAAATCCCAAACAACTTAGCCAAACACAATAACCCTTACTAAACAAAACGCACAAAATCCACAGGGAAAATACAAAAAACCAATGTACCACACTAACAAACACAAATTCGAAAAACAAGGTTACGAAACATACCCATCCCGTCCATGAAAGAACTATGTCAGAGCACCGATGAAGGATTATGCGAACTACGGTTCCTTTATCTTCCACTTTTTGCAACGTCACACCGTTCGATCGACAAACAAAACAAAACACCAGCAATATCGACCCAACCATCCTCCCAAACGTAATCCTTTCTACAATGGAATATGGCAACGGGGTATTTGATCAAACGAAATAGCGAAATTGTTGGCAATCACACATGTAGGGTTTCATACAGTACAGAGTGGGAGACCAAAACGACTGTGTGAATGTGGTTGCACATAACGGGTTAACATTCAACGGGTTGTGGGTATGTGTGTGTCCAATCAGTCACAATTTGAAGCCCTTTCAATTTTTGTTGTGGGCCTTGTGTTAACGCCCAAACACACCAACCCAGTCCAAAAACGAAAACCCTTACAGCGCTTTGTAATTCTGTGACACCGTCTCAATGTATCACTTGATAGACGCCATACATCCACTCACTAATTACCCACGTGCGGCCCACACGAGCCACACCCAAGTTCCGCCTAACAAGCCGGATCTGACTACTAATGTTCAAATGAGGGTAATTACGTCCCTCACAAATTGGCAGGACTAAACGGTTTAGTAGATTACAAATGGGACCAATTGGTTCATAAGTTCACATTTTGGGATTTATGGGTATATTTCCCTTTTTTTAAATATGTTTTTTTTGTATGGAGGGAAGTCACTCTCAACTATTTTATTTTTTTCATCTCATATTTTAATTAAAAGTCACTAAAAAAAAAAATCATTTTTCCAAACCAATCTTAAAGTCAGTCTATATTAACACTGGGTAGGAAACTTCCTTTCTAATTCTATTTATGATTTTTTTTTTTATTTTATTTCTATGGGTGAGGTGACATGTTTCAATCCAATTATCAAGTAAAGCAATTAGTTATATCAATACTATATATTCGAGAGAAAAAATACTATCACAATTTTAAAATATATAAATTAAATTTATTGAGTGCTAACAAGCTATCTAAAAATTCTTTTAACAGCACTGAGATGTAATTCCTTAGGATTTGATTGATATCTACAGATTAGTTTTCAACTAAATATAATATCTGGTCTACTTGCAGTTAAATAAAGAAGTGAGCCGATCATACCTCAA